TTATTTTCCACCAGTAAGAATTAGCTTTAAATAAATCTCATCTTTATATGGCCAAATCCATACTATCGGGATATTCAAAAGGAATTTTGGGGGCTTTTAGAAAATTCTTTGTTAATTTTGCCAAGCAATATTTTTCAGCCATGATTATTCTTATTGACATGTCAATTTTATTATTAGATATTTAGATAAATCATAATTCCTGGTATTTTCAGCTGTATATTTATAAAATAAATGTACTCTTTTGATTACTTTTTTATAAATAAAAAACTACAGGTATTTATCAGGTCTGGACAATTTCTAAATGTGGAAGTCAAGAACGATAACTGAAAGTTGCTATAAATATAAAACATGTACACGTAATTATTTTTCTGTCCAGTTAGACAACAGCATTTTAACACAACCCAAAACATATTTTCAAAGAACAAAGAGATAACACGTGCTTTTGTTTTTTCCTCAAAAAGATTTTTTTAACAAAAAACCTTTAGAAGTAAGATAAAAAAATTTGAAGAATACGGTATTCCCCACATATTTACCGTGAACAACATTGACATTTTTATCTCGATAACGAAATAAAAAATAATGCATGATACCATGTATAAATTGTTTACGGAGGAATAAATCACACTAGCAAGTTCTTGTCAAGTTCAGTTATAAAATTTACCAGAATAAACTATATGTTGGAATATAATTTTGCTTAGCCGTCCGATTTTCATCGATGATGCTTGAATTACATGTCTATAGATCCACTTGACACTTGTAAGTGTTTATCGTATGGACTACAAATAGTTTTAAAATATCACGGCTTTCATGAGCGCCGAATGTTTATTAAGCTATGCAGCCTTACGGCACCCACAAGGAAAGACGTAAAACATGGAGGAAAGAGAATAATTACACATGAATGCGACTTATCCCAATATTTTACCCCGCATATGAGAAACTGCAAATGGACGATTTTGTAATAAACACTCACAAAAAAATTAAGACAAGCATGCATTCAATAAGATGTTTATGCCAGGCTAAAAAAACTGTAAAATTTCCGTATTTATATCAAATTTTTAACGTTAGATTAACTTTTGGGATTCCTATCTCCTATAGTGATAGATTTTTAAGAATACTTAAAACGTATTCTAAGCTTTCGAGTCGTGTTTGTTCACGGTAGAATTGTCATAAATATTATTTTATTCCCAAATGCGCATGAGGTTTACAACAATTTTGTTTTAAAAAAAAATCTTTTGAGCAAAAAGCTTTAAAACCACGTGTTTTATTTATTTTTTCATGGGTTTGTCTAAATTCTGTTATCTGATTGGTCAGAAGGACTAGCACCTTGTTTATTCTGTGTATTTATAGCAGTTCACGGTTATCGCTCTTGACTTCCTTATTTAGAAATCGTCCAGACCTGTTTATTAATGAATTCCCCAATGATTATTCACGTTGTTTCACATTGATAAAGATATGAAAGAATGGTAGCAATTTTTTCCCTGGTCATTTAATAAATTGATAGGATTTATTTGGAGGTTGCATGGAATATTTTTTTAGCGTGATACTAGTAAGACATGAAGCTTTTCAATTAAAAATCTTATATCTAACTGTAATGATCATTTTCAAATATTGCCAATGCAAATTCTGAGTGCACATAATTTTACATTAAATAATAGAATAGGCTTACATGTACATATTTCTTCTCATAATCCGGTAGTTTATTGTTTAGGGATAAAAAATTTTATCCTGACTTCCTTACATGTATTTAATAACTTTCTTTTTAAAAAAAACTACATTTGTGTAAATATACAGTCTAATGTAGCTTTTTTACTTTTAAAAATCTTACATCTAACTAATGATTTTTTAAATAGTGTAAATGTTAATATTGAGTATATAGTTTTACATTGAATAATAAAATAGGCCTATGTGTAGATATTTTTTCTCATAAACATGAAGTTTATTTTAAGGGATAAAAATCCCTTTATCCTGACTGTGTTAATAAACAACTTATTTCTTTTTTATTTATTCTAAACTACAATTGTGTCAATCTACAGTCCCTGAAATTTATTAATTAAATATAATAATCTCTACTTATTAAAAGAAATCCTTGCTTTTTTAAAAGTTTGAACTCCTCTCTGCTGCAAGTAAACAAAACAACTGGGAGCCTGGAAATTCAGAATACACAAGGCGCGGAGCTATCATGTCACTCGGAACCTTTTTCACACATGAGTGAACAAAGCAGTCCCAGAAAGCAGTCCCAGGGACAGCTAGGACTGCTTGGTCTGCTTTTCAGAGCTGCCCCAGAGCAGTCCTATAGCGGTCCCAGAGCAGTCCAACAGCGGTCCCAGAGCAATCCCGGGGACTGCTTTCTGGGACACTTTGGGTATCAGGTTGGGTCTGGTCGGTACTGTATTTTCAATTTCCTTATATTTATCTCTACAAACTGTGAATAAAGGGAAAAAATGACACATTATTTGACACATTGTCATATCTGTAAGCTGTTAATATTTTACAAAAGTACTTTTTTAGCATTTTCATTGACTTTTCAAATGTAATTTCCAATTTGATGAACTCCTTGACTTTCATTAGTGCGGTTGAATGCACGGATGTTATACATTAATTTTCAATAGAAGATGTAAGTGATTTTTATTTATTTCATGACAAGATAGGTAATTTTGTTCACGTTATGCAATTAAAAAGGCCATTTCCTTAGACCTGTTTTTATTCTCATTTCATTAAGATAAGACATATAAGATACTTAGATGATATATGCAAAATACTACATTTGTATATAAGCTACATGAACACCAAAATGATTAGCCCGAATATCCTTTGTCAATACGACAACAAACTTTAAAACACATGTAAATATTACAAAATATGAAATGATATTCAATTCATTAGACACATAAACACAAAACACACACATCGCTGTAGCACTTCACAGGTATCAAAGTTATCATAACGTGCATTTGCAGCAGCTCCTTGTCATGATAACTTATATAACCAGTCCAGTCTTGGTGAAAAAAAATACTGCGAAAACAGACATTTTTGTTGTGGTTTCATTTTCGTTGTTTTTGATGTACGAAGAGGCCCACGAATTTATGTCCTCCACGAATAGTATAATGTGACATACATTTACTACTTAACATCCACAAAATCATATCCCCCATTTACTCAAACCAAGAAAATTTAACTGCACGAAAATATGTGATTTTACATTATCCAGAAAAGCCTAGCGGCAAAACCTCCTTTCCTCTACAGAATTTCATAGAATCTGGCTGCTTGAAGTATATTGAAAATATCATATGAAATGTGTATTATTTATTGACAAAAGAAACAAACGTACATTAAAATTCGGATTTTCAATTTCTAATTAAAAGTCATATTTTAAATTTATCGTTAAGTAGAGTAAACATGGAAATTGTTAAGAACACTAAATGCGTCCAAGTAATTGCAAAATACATGACGTGATATTTGAAGTATTAACAGAAATATAGTGATTTTTCTCTGATGCGATTCCCCTGAAAACGACTGTGAAATTGACGTCTCCTGAATTGACGGCTCACCCTACTTTTGTTAAATTTTGTGTAATGCTCGAGATATCACCAACATAGATCCAAAATATGCATAATATAACATGTAGTAAAATCCAATGTATTCGTGACATTCGTCCACAAAGACAATATAAAAATGTCAGACCGTTAGACCTAGAGCCGTGAAAAGGATATACGGGAAAACGGGAAGAAGATTATATTGACGAAAACTTTATCCGGACTGTAAAGAACGTGATTGAAAGTCACCAAAATCACACTATATCTGATAAATTCCTGTAGTTTTTGGTTTTAAAACAAAGAAAAGAATATCCTTTACTTGTTTAGTAGATTTTAAGATCGACAAGAAATGATGTTTGGATGTTGAGTAGATATGGTATCTCAAACTGTTCAGGTATACTACTGGTAAATGTTTAGAAAAAGAAAGGTCAATAACATTTTTTATAATGCCTGTTACGTCGAAGATTTTGCTGCTCCGTGTTTTAAGTCCTGTAAAATTAACAAAAATTGATTGCAAATTACAACATTTTGAAATGAAATTTGAAGACCACATAAGTAATGATTCCTTTATATCATGTGTGACATTTTGCCCGATTATGTCGTCAAATATTTTTTCTGTGCAACAAGTCCGCGTAATTTTTGAACGGCCGTCGAAATAGTGTTTTTTTTTTTAATTCTGTTGTATATTATTCACACGATCTTGTTTCCCTAAAACCACATTTAAGGCTCCAGTAGCCCTAGGCGTAAAGAGTGCCATATATTTTAATTTTCTATTTCTTTACTCTTTCCATTAAACCAAACTAATGCAAATAAAACATTTTGAAAGGTTAGAAGTTCACAATAACATTTAAATTCTGTACGCAATTATTATTTAAGAAAACGCAAGTTATATATTTTCCAACGAACATATTTCATAATTATTCGACATTGTACCAGACAAACTCTGATGCAATTGTATGTACGACATATTACATATTTCTAATATAATTTATTTTTCAAACAAATACAGCGATTAAATAAGAAATGACCCGGATTTCCAAAGAAGCAGTCAACTGAATAATGAAGTTCTTGAAAAAGGGAAATATAGCAAGCTTCAGTCAATATATCATGTGACGCCATTGTATATAAAACATTGTACTGTCATGTCAATTTTTAACTATCAAGAGGGGAATGTTCAGAGGAAATTCCTCCATTCTCCATTATTCAGTAACAGTTGTACCGTTCTGTCATGTCCATTCTGAGGAGCAATGTAAGAGTAGTGGCTCCATCATTATCGTATAAATTGATGATGGCATTATTGTTCAGTAACAGTTGTATAATGCTATCGTGTTCATTTTGACAAGCTTTAGAAAGGGGACTGGTTCCATTCTTAGTACATAAATTGATGTCGGCACTGTTGTTCAGTAACAGTTGTTCTTTGCTATCATGTCCTTTAAGACAAGCTATCTGAAGAGGGCAGAATCCATTCTAGACACAAAAATTGATATCGGCACTGTTGTTCAGTAACAGTTGTACTGTGCTATCATGTCCTTTAAGACAAGCTATATGCAAAGGACTAACTCCAATCTTGTTACATAAATTGACTTCGGCACCGTTGTTCAGTAACATTTGTACTGTGCTGTCATGTCCATTTTCACAAGCTATATAAAGAGGACTGTCTCCATCATTATCACATAAATTGATGTCGGCACCGTTGTTCAGTAACAGTTGTACCGTGCTATCATGTCCATTTTGACAAGCTATATAAAGAGGACTGTCTCCATCATTATCACATAAATTGATGTCGGCACCGTTGTTCAGTAACATTTGTACCGTGCTATCATTTCCATTTTCACAAGCTATATAAAGAGGACTGTCTCCATTTTTATCACATGAATTGATGTCGGCACCGTTGTTTAGTAACAGTTGTACTGTGCTACCATGTCCTTTATGACATGCTAAATAAAGAGGACTGACTCCAATATTACCACATAAATTGATGTCGGCACCGTTGTTCAGTAACAGTTGTACTGTGCTACCATGTCCATTATGACATGCTAAATAAAGAGGACTGACTCCAATATTACCACATAAATTGATGTCGGCACCGTTGTTCAGTAACAGTTGCACCGTGCTATCATGTCCTTTAAGACAAGCTATATGAAGAGGACTTACTCCATTCTTGTTACATAAATTGATGGCAGCGCCGTTGTTCAGTAACAGTTGTACTGTGCTATCATGTCCATTTTCACAAGCTATACATGTATAAAGAGGACTGGCTCCATCATAATCACATAAATTGATGTCGGCACCGTTGTTCAGTAACAGTTGCACCGTGCTATCATGTCCTTTATGACAAGCTATATAAAGAGGACTTACTCCATTCTTGTTACATAAATTGATGTCGGCACCATTGTTCAGTAACAGTTGTACCGTGTTATCATATCCATTTTGACAAGCTATATGAAGAGGACTTACTCCATTCTTGTCACAGAAATTGATGTCGGCACCTTTGTTCAGTAACAGTTGTACCGTGCTATCATGTCCGTTTTCACAAGCTATACATGTATAAAGAGGACTGTCTCCATCATAATCACATAAATTGATGTCGGCACCGTTGTTCAGTAACAGTTGCACCGTGCTATCATGTCCTTTATGACAAGCTATATAAAGAGGACTTACTCCATTCTTGTTACATAAATTGATGTCGGCACCATTGTTCAGTAACAGTTGTACCGTGTTATCATATCCATTTTGACAAGCTATATGAAGAGGACTTACTCCATTCTTGTCACAGAAATTGATGTCGGCACCTTTGTTCAGTAACAGTTGTACCGTGCTATCATGCCCATTATGACAAGCTGTATAAAGAGGACTGGCTCCATCATTATCACATAAATTGATGTCGGCACCATTGTTCAGTAAAAGTTGTACAGTGCTGTCATGTCCATTTTGACAAGCTACATAAAGAGGACTGACTTTATGATTATTACTTAAATTTATGTCGGCGCCATTTTTCAATAAGCATATAATGGTTGCATTACGTCTTTCTACCTCACTTGTTTCCGTTTTTATTCCAACTTCCTTCAAGCCCCCTTCTTCATTTAAAGCAGCTAATATTAATGCACTCCACCCGTTTGTCATGACCTTGCTTAAGTCAGCACCGAGTTTTACTAATTCCCCAATTATTAAAAAATTATGGAATATTGAAGCAATTTCAATTGGTAACATTTTTCCCCATGTTTCCATCATTCCTGCTCGTTTATATTCATCGCTGAGATAATTCATTAGGCTTAAATCGCCATTCGCACAAAGAGCAGAGAATATAGGATATTCCATCAGCTTTGTTTCAGGGATATCTTTTAAGAAAAATGAAGAAATTTCATTATGACACAATACGATTAATCCGACCAAAGGACATATTTCATCTTGCAAAAAAAGGAAATCAAGTCTTGAGAAAAAAGCCTTCTCAATTGGTTTTACAAATTCCGAATTGTCTTTCTCACATTTAATTTTTACAAGAAGATTTCCGACCGAGTTCACCTTTTCTTTAAAAGATTTGATAACACTTTTTTCCCTTAAACATGGATTGAGTATGACATCTACAAGGTGTTCTGTTTGCATGTCATTGATAAACCTGTCCACAAGATCACCTATGTATTCTTCAGGAAGATAAACAGTGAAGGGATCACGATCTCCCTCTTCTGTATCGTCTTCTATCCTCATCCGACGTCTCAGAAAACCACTGTCTGCGTACTGTATTGTCTCTTGTGGACAATCGACACCAAACACAAGAATCGTTATCTCCATTATAAAGTCGTGAAGGAATTGGAAAATATTTCCAACGCGTTTGATATAAGATCCTCTCAGTTCTTGTAGAGTACTACGAATGACTGAAATATGTGTGTTTTCTTGTAGCTCACATATTCCTAAAATGTCCTTAAATTTCATATCATTTTTATCAATACTTTCGATTTTCAACTTGTTTTTAAATGCTACTAACAAGATAAGTGAGCAAAATCTTTTCTTGTCCGTTTTCTTCCAAACTTCAATTTCTTTTTTAACAAATTTGTATGGATGTTTAAAGAAATCAACCCCTGTTTCCTTGTAGTTTGCCTCCCTTGAAAAAAGCTTGCAAAGCAATGGGAAGTAAGCTTCTGTTTTGATTATTTCAGAAACAACTTCTTGGGATAAACCCAGACTCTGTGAATACGTATTAAAAATCGCTTTTTTCTCTTTAACCGTCAGTCCATTTGTTTCGTTGTCAATTTCTACTGCATTGGATTCGTCCAGTAAGATACCCTTGATTCTCTTGTCATAAAATACGCATCTTCTACATGATATCAATAGTTTATTTTTCTTCAAGCAAATTTCCAGCGTTTTCTCTAAACTTTTCCATGAATGATATAAAATTTCATCTAAAGATTCCTTACCCAAAGGATCATTGAATACAAATAATATACGATCTGTGACTTCGGATGAACAGATCTTTTTAATCTCTTCCACCTTATCCACTGGTGTGACATTCCATCCCCGCTCTTTCATAATGAGTGCAATATGTTGAATTATTGCAGATTTTCCGGAACCAGAATTTCCAACCACCGTGATTAGGTGATGACTTTTAAGCATTTCCTCAACCGCTTCACTTGCTCTTGTAGGAATGAAGGCAACGTCATCTTCTCTCCAGTTCTCAAGAATTTCTTTTACCAGTGGGTTTTCTGTACGCAGCTAGGATAAGGCTGTCCGTAAAAGATCAAACTGTTCAGACTGTAGTAACTTCTCTGAACTACCTAGATATGACGTCATAATAGAATATGACGTCGTCACTGCATACTTGAGCTGACATGACGGGGAAAGTGTCAGAATTTGTACATGGCATGTAGATTTATTTTGGTTCTTGTTGTTTTATCCAAGTGTTAGAATTGTTTTTAAGCTCCAATGTGTTATTATGAAGTTGAACATTTCAAATTTAAATATTCTTATTTCTTTTCCTAGTCTGATATGCACATAATCAAACAATAGAGGAAAAACTATGTGTGAAACGCTCCCCTCACACGTCGGTAGACAGAGTTAGAATTCAAGAATCGTGTTTATATTGGACCGGCACAAGTGAAAGACAAGGATAAATTGAAGATATCCTGAGTGAATCTACAAGAAAAGTATGTCCCCTAACTGAATTTTGCTGGGGGATTGTGTGTAAATTTTCCATTTTTGTATGAATTGCAAGAAGGCGTGGAAAATACCTTCTCAATTGTTGGTAAGTTGAATTTCTCGTAAAATATTTTCTTAACGCATAAAAATAAAACCTGCCCCCAGCACTTTCTATGTACCAGAGATCCCGATGAATCGATCAAGGTAACAAACTTTGCACAATATTTTTGTTTTGCACTTGTGCCGAAGCGATTTTTGTGCAACATTTAGGAATGTCATAAATCTCCGTCACGTGATCAACACAGTCATGTGACATCACAAAAATACTTTATCATAATACCTGATTTAATTGTCAACTAAAGTTGACTGCAATTTCAAACAAGGGTTACATATTGAAATTAAAATCTAGCCCAAAATAAAATGTATATTTTTAAGGCATTTTAAGCCTTCGGACAGCCTTATCATAACTGCGTAACAGATGTGTACTTTTAAAATAAAAAAGTGTAATAATGGATATATTCTGCTCTAACCATATTTGTTTATTTTGCAAAGAATTTTCAGGAAATATTTTCGAAAATACTGATAATAAGAAATGTATTTATCAAATTTACGTTCGCATGAAATTCTATTCTCCGCCATGTATCGTACATAGTAAATATTCTAAGTAATATTTTTTAATCACCTTCATTTTCGGATTTCGTTTTCATTTCTAGCATATCCTGTTCTAAAGAAGATATCTTTTTCATTACACATTGATTAATGGTATAATCTTCCCTAAGTTTCTCTATAACTGTTAATTCGTATTCCTCTTCTAAGGCCTGACTTTGAATATTACTCAGTCCAGACATGTAGTTCTTCTTTGTGTACGTTTGTAGTCTTTGGCAGATATCAGTTATGAGAGACCACGTGTCATCAAAATCTGTCTGTGGGATGGAGGCCGAGCTGATGTGTCCAGACATGTTGTTTCTTATCATCCTGATTCTCTCAATGTCGTCGCCGATCGTTGTTTCTGCGACTGACGGCATCTTGTTTCCACCCCAACCCTTTGTTGGAGGCGGAATCTTTGAACATATGTTTCTTATCAGTGTATATAACAATGTAATATCAAATTCTTTATAACCATCTGTTTTGGCGCCTAAGAGACGAAGCTCTTGCTCGGGGCGTATTTTCTTATAAATCGATGATGACTTCACTTTGTTGTAGACAAGACCAGGAGGTACCTCCATTTCTAAGACATCTCTACAGGCCTGGGTTAATTCTTCGTTTATTGCCATTCCTAGTTTGGCAAACCTGGAACGGTCACCAGGGTCTGGTCCAGAAGCCATTCTTTGGTATTTTACAGTTTAAAAACACCCTAAAATGAAAATTCAATAATTTATCTATTTAATTGGCAATTAATGTTAAATATACACCACAGAATTATTTATTGATATTGATTCATATTTCTTATACCCTAATCAATGTCTTGATGATTATTTTTATTTTTTATTAATGTGTGAAATATGTGTGAGTATGTGAGATTGAAATATGAAATTAGAAAGTTTTACAAAAAAATAAATAGACGCCCTATTTTGCATCTTTTTGCGATTCCTCTGCCAAGCTGTACATAAAGTGAATCTATTTTTTTTACAAGCAATAGAAAAAGATATGTATATATATAATTAAATTAGATGGAAATTTGTACAAATAAAGCAATGCCCTGCTTTTATGATCAAAATTGAAGCAACGAAACATTAGTCTCTGCATCCGTCATTTGACATGTACCCGGAGTGGTTTTTAGGTCATAAAATCAGTTTTGATAGGATACGGCGTTATCATTAAAATTGAAAAAAATGCAGTAAAAGTAATGCAGTTGGTCGTCTTTTTTACTTTAAAGGTAAGGTTTGCGACTCCCTCCAAATTTAAGTTATCCAAAGAATAGCTTTTCTTTTCATAGGGTTTCAAAACATAATGCCCGCCACGTTACTACCATATGAAAATAATTAGAATGTCATTATTTATTATATTTTATACTTATGTTATTTAAGGTCAAGATCTAGCAAATGAAAAGTGCCTATGGATTTATTGAATTTGAGAAATAAATTCCTTTTATGATGCTTTATAAGTTAAGTTTGGAAAAATAAGTTTGGGGGCATTTCACGACAACTGTTAAATGGAAAATTACCTTATAATCCCAATAAACATTCTTGTCCCCATAAGCGCTTCAAGGTCTTTTTCAATTGTCAGGAAAAAGGGCCCCATGTTCAGAGATTAAAATAATCTAGAATCGTATCAAAAGTCTGTCAAAATATTAAGAAAGAGAAAATGAAACTTTTACATTATTCAATTTCTGGCTGCAAAATGAATCATTTAGCATAATTCGGGTGGATTATCTTCACGGAAAGTAAAGTCAGATATTTTAGTGGTTGTTTGAATTTCTATTTTTTAAAAGGATTTTTTTAAGTTTAAAATATGATATGTAATATAATAAAGAGAATACCAAAATAACCGCCCCTTTTCTCAATTTTCTAAGCGCCCGAGTGGTTCATAGGGATTATACGGTAACCGTTTTATGGAAATTACTAAGTTTGATCTAATTAGAAAAATCAAAAATAAATATACAGATATTGCAACGTCAGAATAAAGAATGTCGCGTTTTTTTTATAATCCCCATTAGATTATCGTAAATGTTCTGCCAAAGGCTTCTTTGATAAAATATTTCAAAGAAAATTTTAATTTGCAAAGAGGTAGAGTAGAACTTTGGCACTGTTTATCAGCAATTCCATTATTCATTGTATGATTTGTTTACTTGCAGGGTTTCTGTCCGGTTTTGCTATCATCGACATTCATTTAAGATTTTTATTTATTTGAAACTGCTGGGTTTTCGGTCTTTTATATAGTTTTCTATTGTATGAAATAAAGTATGTTTTGTATAAAAATGAAGTATATTAATGCAGTTTTCAACATATATATTCTGAATAACAGAACTCTTACCGTTTATGAATAAAATAATTGTACAAACGTCTTCCACCTGACTTGTTTCCGTGCCTATTTTAAATATTAATTTACATTTGGAGCCCCAAAACTTGCTACTGCTTTTGACTTTTCACTCCAAAGAAGGATTATAAGTTGCACAGACATATAAAATCAAATTTATTTTCTGTGCATAAAATTTGCGAACATGTGGAAGTACGGTGTGGTAACAACTGCACCGGCGCCTTTTTGTATTTTACGAGAAAATACTAAACTAAACAGTTCTTGGGCCTTCAATGATCCCACAAATTTGGTTAAAAGACATGATAAAATTATGTCATCACATTTTGTAACACGATCGCCCATTTTTTTTTTTGTCAACTTTGTCTTTATCTTACAGTTAGGTCTCTTTTATTCAATAGTTTAAGCGAGATTCAATATAAAACCTGCTAAGTTTTACACTCACTTAAACGTTTCCAGAACAGGAAGATCTCCGTAATAGAACACCATATGATAGAATGTAATCTATTTAAACATTCCACCAACTGGCAAATTGCGTACGTTAGCTTTCGATTGAGTAATGAGCAAAAGTTGTCCTTAAAATTTTGATTTGATCAAATTGTGTCCTTTATACGTCATTTTGGGTCAGGTATAGTAATTATTACGTCATTTTGGGTCAAGAATAGTAATTAATAGTAATGAATATTGCGCATTAATATACCCAAATATTTTTTTTCAAATACGAAGGACTATTCCGTATCACCAACTTAGGCAATTATCTATAAGTGACCTTCTATTGGTCCTTAAAAACGTAATTCCATGTGTGTAGAGAAGATTACATTAAAGAACACCTATGTGTTATGAACATAAATTGTTCATGGGGATATTAATTTGTGGGCAAGGATGACCAACGAAACCCCGAAACTTTGTTTTCAAGCCAACAATAATGATTCAAGAGAATCTGGTTTTTACACTTATTATAAGAAAGACTACTTCTTAACAAACCACAAAACACTATGTTTATTTTAATATTTTTCAAAAGTTTCAAATACGTGCTGTTATGTTTTGATTGATTCAATAAAGAAATAGAAGACGGATTTTCTCTTTGTTTTTTAGTTTTATTATAAATGCATTTCATGATAATAAATGCTTTTAAAATGGCTGTTTATAATCGATTTTTTTTTCAACAATTTAAAGCTGGGCCGAGTATTAGGCTGTAAATTTTTGATTATCTATATCACTGATTATCCATTTTAACTATTAAAATACTTACAGATTATATGAGTATAATTCCTAAGAGAAACATCCAGTACATTGTCAAAAAGATTTAATATGTTTTGTTCACATTCTTAATAAATGTAACAGAATTTAACTGGATCAGACCTCTATCAATTATCTTGGGTCGGTGACAAAGTTATTTTTATTGATAAGAAAAAAACGGGTATTCTTTACTGAACTAGATAAAGACCTTTTATGCATGTTTTAAAGCGTAATGTGCACAAACGTAGTGTACTGAATACCATTTAGTTTATCCTAAAGATAGTCTTTATGAAAAGAAGTTTAAATGGCATAATATTTAAATGAATCTGTATAACATGCTTTTACAGAACTTATAAATGTCCTGCCACATTTTAACGCAGAAAACGGATCAGTCAATGTAGTTTATCGTATTCAAAGTTGCATGATTGAATTCTTCAATTTTATTTGGATTTCGATAGATAAAATCTCCAGCAGATACCTCAAATCAACTTTGTATCGTCGTCGCTACCGTGACATTACAATTTATTTCAATGGACATTTAAACGGGCAAAGGGGTTTGAGAAGAAAAAAAAAGGAAAATGAAAATGAAAACAACTTTAACAGATTGTATACCATCTTTTGTGAATGATTTACATAATTCTTTGTTTCCCAACCTACGTTTACAGACAGTTTTGTGCATTATGTTGTGGAACTCCTCTATTTCTGTCAGACAGAATGGAATAACTCTAAAAAAACAGTTGGGCTTCCGTAGTTTTCCTCACCTAAAATTTCTTTCTTAACCTTAGTTTCCTCAACAACATTTTGTCTGCAAATTAAGAGAATGTGTAACTCCTGACAATTCATTCAATTTATTAGAATATATCTATACTTTAATTGTTTAAAACCAAAATAAAAAAGATCACATCATCATTCACATCATCATTTCTATCAAAGGATTCAACAGTAGTTCCATCAATAGCTTTGAACTGTAAGTTGATTTACTTGTTTCTTATTCCTCCTCAAAAAAAGTACTGACATATGCCATGAAATTTATTTTGCAGGTTACACAACTAACAAGCATCGTTCTCTGAAAGTCCCATTGAAAGAGCAAGGCTTTAAAGGTATAAAAAGAACTCATTTAGATTTTGCAATAAATATTTGTACAGTACCCGCATCGTTAATCTTTACAGGATACACGATACGATAGGATACACGCACGATACGATAGGATACACGCAGGATAGGATAAACGCAAAACAAGATAAACGCAAAACACGATACACGCAAAACACGATAAACGCAAAACACGATAGACCTGATAAACGATCTTCACGATAGGATAAACGCAAAACCTGATAGGATTGTTTCAAAATGCGGAACGTTTTTTGACAAGACGAAAAGATTATTTTGTTTAGTTACTGCAATATTTTAATTTAAATACTTGCAATGCTTCAGATCTAAATTACCGCCGAAATATGGTTGAAATATTGCCGATCCGGGGTGAAACAATAACAATCAATCAAATCTAAATTATAAAGTTCATTTAATTATTATAATAAGAAAAAACTTCGGATCACTGTGGTTATTTCACAAAAGTTGTTTATTTATTTTTTTTAAAAATTGGCAATGATTAAATGGATTATTATGAAATGGAGACTGTAATTTTCTTTTCTTTTTTTTTTTTTTTTTTTTTTTTTTTGAATTTCTACCCCAAGGTATGAATTTACGTTTATTTGTGCAAATGCTAAAATTCTCATCTTAAGGTTGAACTATGAATCGTTAAATTCTGGATATTTTAACATACATATAATTATTGCAAAAAAAAAAAAAAAAAAAAAAAAAACTTACTTAGTTATGTGCCGTTTCTCACGAGTATTATTAAAAATTTATGAAACTCTATAAAAAAGATCTATTATTTATGAAAAAATATATATTTGTAACTAATGAATTTATCTACAAAAACTAAGTTGTTTCTTGGAAGAAATTTACGCAATAAATTAAATATATGTTTAATGTCTAAAGCTTAGATCTGCGGTGTATCCAAAAATTGCAATTAAATATCAAAATCTTATTTTTAAAAAAAATATAAATGTAGAAGACCGGCCTAAAAAAAGGTTCAAAGAAATCGGCATTA